AAACTGAATATACCAATGCCACTTTCCGTATCAATAGCCACCGCACCATGCAGACATCTGCCTATTATGAGTACATCATAATAGGCTTCTATAAGCTTGTCTGCACAAATATGTGTCTATGTATGTTATGCTCCAATTTTTTTTCCCCTGGGTGCTTATATAATTGCAAGTGTTGGCTCATGTTTTCAGAAATAACTTTTCATATACACACCCACCATGTAGATATTTATAATTGAGTTTTCACATGTATCAATATATTTAAAAAACAGACATGATATCTTTTCCTTTGTTCAATTCTGACTAACAGGTTCTTTCCCACTTATTTACCCTGGAAACTCTTTTTACTCCTGTTTTGTTAATCTGATGGAAAACCTTTCAAGATTCAAAAAGCAATCTCGACTCAAGTTGCAAATTCTTATCTTCTATATTTCCTTGCTTTCCTTTTCTTTTTACAGTCTACTATTTGTTTCTTTTGCTTTCTTTACTTCTTTTTTGTTCTCTTTTTTTTTTCTCCCTTCTCTTCTGATGTTTTTTTATTTTTCCTTACTCTTAAACTCATATTTTCAATCACTTTCTCTTTTTGAACGATTCTTTTTTTACTTTCTTTCATACACCTTTTCTCTTCTTCTCATTACTTTCACTTTAGCTTTTGTTCTTTTTTTTAACTGTTTAATCTCTCTGTCTCATTCTTCTAAGACTCATTTCTTTTTTTCTTATTTTCTTTCTCTTATTTTCTGTAAACCTATCTATCTTCTGTTTCTTTTCTGTTGCTTGTTCTTGCAAAACTGTCATTCTCCAATTGTCAGTTAGCAATGTGAATCTGGGAAAAAAAAAAAAAAAAACTCCAGCAAGATCTGACAACTGATAACTGGCAGTGTGAAATTTGTGCTAAAAAGTAACTTAAATTAAAATCAAAGAAATAATTGACAAAATTTCTTGTAAATAATTCCAAAATATATATCATTATTTCTTTCCCAATTTCATTTCCTCCTTGTATTTTAGCTTTTTTATTCTATTTTGTTGTCTTCTATCTCTCGCCCTCTCTTGTGTTTCTAGTCCACTTGATTTCTCTCCCATTCTTCACTTTTCCTTACTGCATTACCTCCCTTTTCTGTACCTGAAACTTGTTTGCATTCTCTTCACTTTCAATAATTTTTCATCTCTTCTGTTTACTATTTGGCTTTGAAAGTCATTCTCCCTGTTGTTCTCTTTTTACTACTCCATTTTTTTTTTTCTGTCTGTACATCCTCAACAAAAGAAAAATATTCCAATATTGCTTACACACTTTCAGCTTTCCACTCTTTTCTCTCTTTTACTAATTCAATGCCTGGAAGGTTCAGCTACTCATGATTGCCACTGACATTTGTTTCATTCTTAAAATAATTCATTTTCTTCATTCTTAAAACACTTAATTTTTCTCTTTTGTCATATTTTTCAATTTCTCTTTCTCTCTTATTTACCATCTCTCTTTTGCAAGAACGCCAATTCACAAAATATTCTGCTCTTTATCCTAATCTCCAGTATTGAATACTTCCTTCTATTCAACAACTGCATCCTTTGACTAAACTTCTTTTACACAGGTTTATATGTCTTCAGTCACTATCTTATTCTGGAGACTTTTCTCCCTTCTCTTTCAGAAGAGTTCAGAAATCCTTCAGTTTCCACTCAATTCTAAATGTTGTGTTGTTCTTTTTATTTTTTTTTTCTCCTAATTTTCTTCTATTGCTCTGTCTATTTGAAGTTGAAAAGTTGTTGTTGTTCTTTTAATCTGTCTTTTTGCTTCCCTCTTTTTTCATGTTTTGTTTTCATATTATTCACTCACATGACTACAAATACTTAACGGTGTATGTGTGTATATATATATATATATATATATATATATATATATATTAATGCATATTTGGACAGCAGCCTTTCTTTTAAACATGTTTCATTGAATATGACAGACAAAGAAAATTTAATTAATTTTTTATTTATTTTTTTTCAGCATTCTGACATTTTTTCATTTGATGGGAGTAAGGTAGTGTGAAATTTGTTCGTATTGTCCATTGTCCCAAGCACTTTTTGCCACTTCTTTAGGCGTTTTCAAGGGGGTTGTTTACTTACTCCCACCAAATGGTAAAATGCTAGAAAAACTAAATAAAAAATTAATTAAATTTTTCTTTTATATCATATTCAATGAAAGATATATATATATATATATATATATATATATATATATTCTGTTTATACATTATTTTTATAGATACAAATATTTAAGTAAATGCTCCATTTATAATAAACAGTATTAACTACATTTATTAGCCTGAATGTTGGAGGACACATTTTATATGAAATTTCTCGGACATACAGACCGGTAAATGTAGTTAATACTGCATTAAGCATTTACTTAAATATTTATATCTATAAAAATAACAGATAAAAAATTGTCGAATTTAGTCCATTTCATTATATATACTTTGCAGTTTAGGAATGGGTTCCCAGTTTCTTTCCATTTCCAAGGCCTTAATAGTGAGGCTGTCATGAATTTTTGGCAATATGTGCAAATGGTGGCAACGTCTCTTCATACTGAGGGTACCAGTTTGACAGTTTTCTGGTTGCTGTTCCTGACTGGTAGTTAGGAGCCCAAACTCTTGTGTAGCATCTTCAGAGGCTGCCCTAATCTTGCAGTGCCATGTCACACATGGAAGGGTGCCGCTGCAAGCACCTCCAATGGGCAACCCCGAGGCCACACTATGTTGCAGTCTGCGCCAGTTCCTTCCCACACATGTTTCATTAGATGACCAACTGCTACTACTCCCCTAGGCCTTTCCTTACCAAAATGACATATCATGACTACAAGCAACCAAAGATATAAAACTAAACCAGCTCAACAAAAAACACCTAAACCCCTCAACCTTTCTTTCTCCAACATTTGTACCAACTTCTGCAGTGTGGAATCTTTTCTTTTCAAAAAGTCTCCAGATATCCTAGCTCTCTGCAATGCAAATCTTAACTCTTCAATCTCTTCCTCTGATTTCTCAATTCCTGGTTATCTTCCTCTCTTTAGGACGGATTCTAATGTCCACATGCATGGCCTGGGAGTTTATGCCCATGAACATCTCTCTTGAAGCTCCAGACCATTCCTTATATGTCTCTCTCTACTAAACTCAGTTATATCTTCTTTCTCTACCGTTCCCCTTCCTCTCATGACTACTGCATGCTAGATAGTATTTCTCATAATATAGACAAGGACATCTCCCCACACCCATTTGCAAATATATGTGTGTTCATTGACTTTAATGCACACCATGCCAGGTGGCTCAAACACTCTGTCACTGAACTTACTGGCATTCAAACCCTGAAATTCTCAATCACCCAATCTCTCACGCAAATGGTGGACTTCCCCACATGTTTCCCCAGTAACCCTAATGAACATACTTCACTTTTAGATTTCTTTTTTACTTCTATCCCTGACTCATGTTGTACTATAGAGCTCTGCCGTCTTGGCAACTCTGATCATGCGGTAGTGTCTTAAAACATCTCTTTCTACTTACCCACCAGCCGAGAACCTCCTACCAACAGAATATCTTTCTGTTATCAACAAACAGATTGGGACACATTCCATGATTTCCTTCATGATGTCCCTTGAAATGAAGTTTTTAATCATCATGTTCAAAAATGCTCATCTAAGGTCTTCTCTTGGGTGAAAGCTGGCATCAATGCTTTCATTCCAACAAGGAAATACCAACTTAAATTGTGTTCATCTCCTTCATTCTCACCTGCGTGCTCAGCCACTGTAGCCCACAGGAATTACTTCTTTTTAACCAGAGCAACACGTCTGATTGCATAGGACATCACTTTGTCTCTGCTCATAATGAGTGCAAGCATGTCCTCAATGAAGTGAAGTTACTGTTTGCTGATAGAATCAAATAACGTATAGCATCTTGCAAGTTCAGTTTTAGAGATTATTGGCAGCTCTGCAAGAGTGTGCTGAACAACAGTAAATCCTCAATCCCTCCTCTATTCAATCAATTCGAAGTTCTGACATCAACAGATAAGGTTTGAATGCCTTTTTGGAAATTCTTTTCCAACTGAACACTCAACTCATTTAGAATATCCACACCTGATTTCCCCACTAGAACAGAGGCTTTACTGAGTGATATGTCCATAATTTATGTATAATACTGACCTCACTTGTCTGTGGCTGATCTTGGTATGGCAGTGACAAGACAGTATGGACTCAAACAAGCTGCCTTTTAAATAAGAACAGAAAGTAATGCTCTCTCAAGAGCAATAATTAGCAATTAGACCATTTTATTATCTCTGCTTGCTATCTAGTTTTCTAAACCATTTTTATCTCTTATAAATATTTGCATAGGTTTTACTCATTCTCCCTTTATACTTCTTCTCATTTGTTTCTTTTTTGTTTTGGTTTTTTTTTTTACTTTTTCCTATTTTTTCTTTCTCAGTTATATGATTCTATCTCCATTTTCCTCTTCTCCCTTGCTTTTTTTTTTTTTTTATTATGCTTCGTTTCTCTCACTTTCACAAGCAAGTTCCTCCCTCTCAATTTTCGTTTTTCCTTTCAACTCTTCTTTTTACTCTTCCTCTTTCTAATGTATTTTAAAATTTGATTCCTTTCTTCTAATTTCCACATTATTATTCCTCTTGCTTCTCTATCATCCATTCACTCACTATTTCCTCCATCATCTCTTTTATCACTCATTAACCAATTATCTATCTTGCTCTTTTTTCTTTCTCTTGCTCCTCTTTCCTTCCTCATCTTACTTTTCTCTCTTATCTCAATTTTATCTTTCTTAATTGCTTTTTTTTCTATTTTCACTTTTTCTTTCTTCTTTCTCTCTGTTACCTTCTAGCTCCTCCACCTCTACAGATTAATGAATTTATAAACCTGAATCCTTCCATCCAATTCCTAAACTTAACCTTCCGATCTCCGATTCCACAACAAGCAACTTGATATGCTAACTCTGTCAATATTTTCATTCTGCCATTACTCTATGCTCCTTCCCAGGGTTGCTATTGGCAATGCTTCCCTATTTTCCTCTCTCTTCATATACCTGTATCTGAGTTCTTTGTGGCCTCAACTCATGACTGCTCCTGATGCTAATGTTATCGTAACCATGGTAATACTGTCATCATGGCTATACAGAAACCAAAACTCTTTCAGGTTTAAAATCACTTACCTTCTAATCTTACTTCTCATCTTTTTTTACTTCAAGATTCAAATGCCTGCACAATTTAATGACTGGGGTTTTTTATTGTGCATGTCTTCTTGTCTGCAGTTTCCACTGAATAGATGCTGCATGCATACAGAAATGTAACATTTTGTTTGTTCCATTTTTTCAGAGTTGAAAAAACTAAAGATATATACAAATCCAAGAATAATGTTTCCAGAGTTTTACGAGGGAGAGATCTGTCGTTCGTTAGTTCTGGTGTTTTATTCAAATACTGATGCAAGAATATTTAATGAAACTGGGTTCAGAAAGCATTAAAATCCTGCACATATTTTTAGTAAAATTTGATGCAAAACCAAAAGCATTTATGTCAGTTTATTCTCCTTCAAATATTCTAAAAATCTAAGCAGTTTTTTCTTAGTATAACTATTCACTTAGTATACAAAGAGACCTATTTCTTCTTCTTAACTTCACATCTATTTTTAATTGGTATTCAAATTCATAGTTCTGCTTTGACTGACACTATCTTGCTGAATACTATTATCTCTTTATATGTTACTGATTGATGCCAATTACTCATGTGCATTTAGTTCAACTACTATTAATCCATTCAAACCAAAATTGAGTATTTAATCAAATGCATAGTGTAGTGATTATTACATGGAAATTGGAATGGGTATGTCCCAGCTGAGTTTGTTACTTTCTCTTTTATACAAATAAAATAATAATAATAATAGTAGTAGTAGTAATAGCAGCAGCAATAATAATAATAATAATAGTAGTAGTAGTAGCAGCAGCAATAATAATAATAATAATAAAAAAATAGCAGAGTAGACTGGGTTCTCTAGCCAGAGTTAGGAGAACTCTGAATTCACAACCAATTAGGTGTGGAGCTAGCAATTCCACTCAGTAAAAAGACAACTTGCTATGGAAACCGCAACCGCAACACTCATCTCGTAAGTCTGTGGTCTTATACTCCACATGGAAGAAGAAAGACATATCTCTTTCTTTATAAAAAGGACCATACTTATACTTTATATAAGTAGCAATACATTCATCTTCAGTGTCATTTCTCTATATTTAGATTACAAAAGAATTCAGATTTCATTAATTCCAGTGTCTTCTTAAATGGTGTAAATGCATAGCTCTTTTGATCTTGTTGGTTCAGGCCTCACCTTATGCTCTTGGCTTGATGTTTTTGTTTTGTAAAATATAAAAACTTCATGAAACAACATCAACAAAAGGACCATTTCTTTTTGTTATTTGTTTTATTCAGAGAGTGTGGTGTCAACTTGGATTCTAAGAGGCAATAGGAGTGATGTCACAGGAACACATGTCAAGCATTGGCTCAGCTTCCCTCCATCCACATTCCCCCCAGAAGGTGGTCTTAGCTGGTTGCTAACTTGTGTGAAAGAGGCATATTGATGCTTCAGAATTCTTGAGACACTCTCTTGAATTTGCACTGTTTTGGACTAAGGCAATATGTTTCTTTCAGAATACCATACTAATGAGGCACTCTGGCCACTCACTGACCATTCTGGTCCTGGCCTTTGCATTCTGTAACAGATGTGGAATAACATTTTTTATCAATTGGATATTTTACATTTTTTAAAGGAATGCATTCATAGGTTTTCCTCTTGACATTGCATCATCCAATAGAAAGGCTTTCACTATATCACAAAATGTTGTACTTGAAAAGCAGAACAGAAACTGTACTGCCTAGACAGCATCTTCCTGGGTAGGAACTATTCAAGCATTGGTCAGAAGACAAAATATTTCAGTTTCTTTGATTCTATGGTCATGGAATTTATGATTTTCTATCAGTGTGCATATGAATTATACTTGTAAAGAATGTAAGCATTACATTATAAATGGATTTTTAAATTGCATTTTTTAAGCCAAAGTGTGCCCTACCAGTTAAGCCATGGGAAACCACCATAATAAAGCGAGGATGAAAACACTTTGGATAAAGAAATGGTTTCCCTGATGGAAAACAGGAAATGCAGGTTTGATGCCTGTCAGAAAGTAGATTTTTCTTTAGCAAGGATTTCTCAATCTCTAAGCCAACTGACAGTAATTTCGCTGTTCAAAATAACATGGATGTTGACTCAAACACATTTACCCAGTAAGAATGACATTTATAATAAGAAGAAATATCAGTTAATTTCTGAAAGGGAAATCTCAACAGACCCTCACATAATTGAGTTTTGCATTACTTGTCCTGAGTTTAAAGATTCCATGAATCTTCCTTCTAAAATCAAAAATAAATCTGATAAAACTTAATTAATTAAAAAAAAACAATCAATAACCAAAACCAAATTGTGAAACTGTTTTTATAATTCTCAATTCTAAGTTTTGTTTGGATAAAGTATTCCCTTCTCTAAGTATTTAACATTGTTAACATTTTTGGCTGACCCTTCTTTCAAGGTGTACGCTTACTAAGAAAAAAAGTAAAGACCTTCTTTTATCTTGGAAAAAATATCAATAAAAAAGCTGATTCTTTATATAACAATCAGATTATTTCAATCCTCCCTGGTCTTTTGAACAAGAGTTGAAGTTTATCCCTTGTGTCCACACAATAGAATGTCACTAATAAGCTCATCCTTACTATTCCAGATATGTCCATATATCTTTTTCTTATTTCCCGAATAACTTGTGAAAGGACAGGTAGATAGCTAGAGAACTGCTTTTTTGTGATGTATTGAATTCCAGAATAGATACAATAAAACACATAGCATCCTTGTATACATGCCATCTAATTTCTTTTTCAATTGTTTTTGTTCATGCCATGCTATTATAAGGCAAAATAGATACAATTATAAAGAAATCTTGTTTCATTTCATCCAATAAAATTTCTAAACTATTAAAATGAATGCTATTACAAACAGTCAATCAGTTTATCTATCTTTTCTACTAAATGGACATAACTCTACTACCATCAAAACTATGCATTCTAGTTTGTCATACCAGATTTTTCCACCTCCCATTTGGTTAAGAGCTTCTTATTTTCCTCAAATCCAATTTTAAGGGAACAGTTGGTTTCTCTTTTATCTACTTATCCATGTTTGCATGGAATATGATAAATGCAATCTTTTCTCAAACCCTTCTTATATAAAAGACCAACTCTAGTAAGAAGTTTGTAAAGAGTAGTTTTCACCACTGAACATTACAATGATGCACTGTCAACAAACCTTTTTAGTCTGCTGCTTTTCTTGCATAAGAAGTCATTGCTGTAGCTACATAGTTGGTCATACTAGAGATTGTCCTCCTGCTTCTCTGTGTCTTTGGAAACAATCAAGTCATTGTTGAAGGAGGCTGCCTATGTCACTTCATTCTTCATCTGGCTTTATTGGACCATTACTCAAGACCACTAATGCTTTCTTCATACAGAATGGACTAAAAATTCAGATTTAACCCCAAATGCATTGGTTTTCTGTACACACTAGTGCTATACTGTATGGGCAACTTGGATGTACAAAAAATAATTTTTTTGTATTCCTTTTCCATTGTGAAATTTATGGCAGGTTTAATTGAATCCACATGACCAGAGAGGACCTGTATAGCCTCACCAGACTATAGGATAAAAGTGTCAACCATTGACCAAAGGCTTCTGAGTGGAATGTGGAACAAGATCTTTAAAAACTCTGTGTAAATATTAGAAATCACCAGGGGTAAGTGATGACCTTATGGCTAGGACTTCTTGACAGGCCCAAAACATGTTATTCTTACACAAAACATTTCCATTACATTGTTAACAAAGATGGTAATAGAAGGGGGTCAATTGTCCACACAAAATTTGGAATATTAATCATCCTTCTCAGATTTGTTTTTTTTTTTTTTTATAATTATCAATATAATTTAATTATCTTAAAGTTTCACATCTGATTCCAGATCTTGTTTTTGTCTATCCTACTCTGCAATTATATGTACTTATCTGACTTGCTTCCTCAATTGAATCTCAACAAACTAACAGCATATAAACTGAACTATGTATAAATAAAGTCTCTGGCAAGCTTTGTCACTTTTTATTTAATTTTAATCAAAGTTGGTTTATTCCAAGTTTAATTCCCAGTGATAAATTGAATTGAGTTACCAATTTCTGTCCATTACTCAAGGACTTGTTTGATTCATTGTTGAATCAGAATAGGCAAGGATTCTAATATGAGGATGGCTGACATTTTGTTGGGTGTGGGTAACATTTTCATTTTCATTTCAGTGTGTATCTTTGTAAAAGTTTTTCTGAATTTAGCCATTTGTTTCATTACAGATCAACAATATTTCCAAGAAATTCCAATCTGTCTGAAGATACAGTGGCTACTGTACAATCTGGGTGCCAATACTGCCATTGTCATCACTATTTCATATTGGTCATTTATTTTCTTTATGGAACATTCCAGTAAGTCTTTTCCTATTAAAAAACAAACTTTCTTACTGTTTATAACATTAATGTATTTAAATTAATGGCAGCCTTTGCCAGAAGCAGCAATACTAAAAATTATCTTATTTACTAATTCATAAAAAAATATGAAATGATTTCAGCTAGTATGATTTAACACACAAAATCTCTTCTATTTAATTAAAAGTTGGTTTTCTATTTATGTATTTATTTAATGGTTTTATTACTATGCTTAGTTATGTCTTTTTTCATGTTCTGATATTGTCTCCATATAAACAACTTTTTATTAATTTTATTTTAGTTAATTGATATTTAACTTTACAGTAAATAAATCCCCAGCCTAGAGAAAGTCTGCATCTTAAAATTCATGACACACATTTGTTTCTGATAATAATCATAATAATAATAATAATAATAATAATATTGATAATGATAATAGAGGAAAGCTACCATTTGTAGAGTGAGCTAAAATAGTTTTTATATGAAATTATTTTATATTTCTTTCCAGAATTTCTTATGACAAACATGAGCAAGATGAAGCACATGCTGAATACTGTGTATGTTGTTCTGGACATCTTCATCTCGGCAACACCAATACGTATCTTCCACATGCTTTTCCCCATCATGTTGGGGTCAATCTACGCAATATTCAATGCCACTTACTTTTTAAATGATGGTACTATCCTTGATGGCCGCCATTATGCCTACAATGTGCTCAACTGGAATGTGCCGGCTGAGGCTATTGTAACGTGCATCCTGTGCATAGCCCAGACCATCTTCAGCCAGATAATCCTCTATCACTTGGCTGCCCTACGCAAATGGATTCATTCCAAGATATATAAGCCACGTGAACCCATCCCGGAACATGACTCGGAAATGCAGAGTATCATGAGTGCAGATTCAACAACTTACCTAGCAACTGATTCCCAAAATGAGGCTGCACCAGGAAGCATCCATTAATCACATTATTAACCAAGGCATCATTTGGAATAGTGCTCATATGTTTATGGTTGCTGCTGCTTGAAAGATTTGAAGCATCAGTTAAATGAATGACTCTTTCTATGTTGCTGAGGGCAGGGGGGTTAATTTGTTTATTAATGCTTTGGTTGGTATGTTGTCATCATCAGGAGACATGCATATAATGAACAGATTATAGACTATACAGCATGTCATCTACGTGGAGAAGATGTCAATTGAAATTTAGTTGAAAAATATAGCAAAAGTGTATGAAAAATGAATGCTGTTAGTGATTAACAAAATACTGGAGAAATGAACTATTTTGTATTTTTTTCTTTTAATTTGACCCATGAGTTGGAGGAGGGGGGAGAAAGACCTCATGATCATATCTGGTTTGCATTAGAATTTCAAAATGGCTGCTGCACAATGCATCAGATGTTGAAACACATCAGCATTTAAACTACAACATTATACTGCATACTAATATATACTATGTAATATGCATCGTATCTAATAATGTTAGTGTCCCATGGATTTATATTGATGTATCCAAGAAAAGTTTATATTTTTTTTAAATTGAAAAAAAATATCTACTTTTCCTTCACGGAAGACAAAACCTTTTGAAAATACTCAGTAAAAGATCTTAATCATGCTGATTTTAATGTCCAGATATTTGCTGAAACTTTATATGAAACCTGCCAGATGGTGTCAATTTATTTTCTACCTTATCTTATCTTCCCTTAAAAAAGCAAAACTCCATATTATTAAGAAACTGACCAAGTATTGATTTAATTTTAAATCTTAGATGTTTATACCTGTTCGCTGACATTCAGTTTTCTTGGACGTCATCATTAAAAACAAAAAATATTAAAAATGTCAGTGTGTACTTATTACATCTGATAAATACAAAACTAAATTACTTAATGTCTGTTGCATCTTGGAGTGGACAATATGGCAGTAGTTGAAAAAAAAAAAAAGAAAAATACCCAAAGAATTGCTAGTCTGTGATCACTTCATGGCCCTCTCTCTTATGTATATATAAAATGAAACATTATCAAAGCTCTTAAATACCTGCCTGTCTGCCTAATTTTTATTGACTTGCCTCTTCTTGCTGTTATTAATATATCTGCTGAAATTGTTCTTAAAATCAAAATTCTAATTATAACCAAAAATAAAAGGACAATTAAAAAAAAATATATACTTTGTCTACAAATTAAAAGAAAAAAAAATGAAACCACAAAAAAATCTTTATATTTTTAAAAATTTTTTCTTCTTTAAATTTTTGTGATTACTGCTTCAATCATTCATTGTGTGTGTGTCTGTTTAGCTAGTTTCTGTCACATAATGCTCTTCATTTAAGTGAATTGCAGAGCTGACAAAGATGGTGTCTATGGCAGAAATAGTAAGAAGCTGGAGAAGAATATTCAGTTAAAAATGAAAGGGGCAGAAAGAAGGAATTAAAACAAGGAAATGGAAGGCAAAAATGGTAGAAGCAAGAGAAAGAACACGTGCAGAGGATAAAAACAATAACCCCCAAAATATATAAAACAAAAAAGGATTAGAATAAAAGCCACAGTGATATTATATAGAGAGGTGCTGCATCATATTCAAATATTGACTGGTACTGGTTAAAGTCAACAGTGTTTATAGACTAATTAATTTTAAAAAGAGAAACTAACCAATACACATGCTTATAAATTGACAAAATATAAGACATAGATTCAAATATTTGCACATATACACATCTGTATTCTAACTTTTATGTTATCAACACTATTGTGACAGCCTGATTTCCAGTACAGCTATTATTTTTATAACAGTTGCTGTTCTAAAAACAACTTTAAACTTTCCTGTATCTCTTGAAATAGGCGACTATCAATGTCTCCTTTATTATCCTGCATTAAAAAAAAATAAAAGACTGAATTAACAATTCTTTTATCTCCTGTAATCACTATCTATGCGAAAACCTTCAAAAGATAGATTGACTGTCAGGAAGTCAATATTATTTCTATTTCATGTGCATTGCTCTATATATTTACTTGTAAAATCTTTAAAAAAAATGCTTATGATGTTTCTTTCATGTTCTATAGAATTTTATTATTTCATAAAAACAGCAAGGAAACGGAAAATACTAGCAAATACTCGCAATATGAAAAATATTAATATAGCTATGTTTAAAATTGCTTAAGAAATAATATTAACCAAATATTGCACTCCAATTTGGCAACATTCATGAAGTTGATTCATAATGATGAACAAGAGTAACTAGTGTCACTGCACTTGGTCACCTTGGTTTTAAAATATGGAGGTCGGTAGAAAAGAATTTACATGATTTAAAAGAAAGAAAAATTAGATGAAATTCCCACTTGTTCCTGGAGAAGCACCAATCGAACCATGTCCAGTGATTGCAATCTCAAAGCTACCTGTGTTAAAAGTTGTGCAAAATAGAAATAAGTGCTTTCAAAAATTTATTTTTTAAAAAATATTGTGCAAAAAAGAAAAAAAAAAAAAAGCAGCCAGTTCCATAAGCAAAAGTTTCAATAACCTCAAAAAAGACAATTAGCAAAAGAGGTTTGTTATGAAAGGCAAATCGAGTCAGTTAAATCTCAGAATAAAAATTAAGGAAAATTCTATGAAAAGAAAACCTGAAATTTCACTCTACATGAACAAAATGGAAGTAGGAATTGTCTTGAACAATAAATGGTCAGAACAAGCAAAATATGTTACTGTTAGAATAATTAAAAATGAAAAGGGGGAAAGTCTAAAAATTTTAAAACTAAAACCACATGCAGTACAGCAGCCACAGTAGATGAGCAAGTCTCTTGAAGACATCAAAGAAGAAATTACTATTAATAACACATTAATCCATTCTACTTAAAATGACAGCAAAAACGGTGAATTAAAATGGTATAAATATTTAAAATGAAGCCAAGAACAACAAATGGACTATTTTCCGAAAGAAATTCAAAAGTAATTGCATCAAACTCTGTACAGAAAATGACCACATTGTGTAAAAATAAAAAGAGAGAGACATTAAAAAGAACAGACTATGCAGCCAGAAATTGTATCCCTGAAGAAATCCATAAAATCACCTGTTCAATAAATAAATAAATATTTTTTTTCTGCAACTACACAGTGCCACCTCTATTTTGGAGGGGGAAAAATTATTGTAAAATGGAAAAGAAAAATTCTTCACAGTAACTATGGAAGCCCAAAAGTGCAACTGTCATGTAATATTGGCTTAAAAAAAGTGAAAAAGTCTTAAAAGATATAAACTTGATGCAAACTGCAGTTTGCAAACCAAGCAGGTACACAGAGGAGGAAAATACTTGTATCTACCATTAATTTGGTTAAAAGGTAAAAAAAAATATGCACCAAAACTACATCAAATCTATCAGAAGAATATCTTCAAAGGGAATTGTTAAGGTCAACATCTGAAGCTATGTACTTTAATGTGTCACTTTTTTAAAACAGAACAATTGAAATTATGAATTTTAACTATTTACCAACTATATTTCTGAGAAGATCTTTTTAAAAATCTATAGAAACAATTTACATCAGTTTTTTTTTATATATATAAAAATAAAATTGCAGATACAAGAAATTATAACAAAGCTTATATTACTAACTTTTTATTAATAGGAAAGACACCTTCATGTAATAATAATAGTAGTAGTAATAGTAACAGTTAGACCAACAAGAATATTTAAAAATCTACGATTTTCAATATTTTTAAAATCATGAATTTTAAAATGATGATTGTCTAAAAAAAAAAAAAGGAAAAACTCCAGTAAAAGAAAGATATTTGCAAGTACCTCTGTTCTACTAAACTGATGTTAAAATATTTAAGTTTTGGCCAGTTGATTATTCCGCTTCCTTTCTATGTTCACAGAATTATGAGATTTAGCTCATTGAAAACAATGCTGATTCATGTGTTGATTACCAGAGTAAAGTGATATTAAATCTGGTTACTTCATGGCCAAATGACTATAATGACAACACCAGGTGATGAAAGAGAAAATGAAAAAGACAAGTCATAAAAACAACCTGTTAGCCCAAGAAATAATCAGCATGCAGAGAGGCTTGCAGATTGTCATATGAACGCAAACAAAAATACAAATATGAACCTATTTCAAAAATGAAAATGCAAGCATTCAGATTCTGTTTTTCTTTTTCATTTATTTTTATTTTTTTCTTCTTTTTGTGATATTGTTAACCTAATCTGAACTTCTTTCCATTTAAGCACAATGATTTAAATCAATGTCAAAAGTGAGGATAAAATTTACAAGTGCTAATAATCATTTGCATGTTTTTTTTTGTTTGTTTTTTCAGAAAAAAAAAAATCATGTTTTCCTTTTCTTCCTGGCACCATTTTTTTTTCTAGAAAATGTCAAAAATTGTCAATTATTTTGAAGTAGCTTTGAATATTGTTTTAATGTTGAACATATTACTGCTACTTACTTGTTAGCACTATTTTTATATTGCCAGAAAGATTGTTTGTTATAATGGTTTTCTGTATTGACTGATTTTCCTTTGGGCAGGAATGAGTGATAATTTGACAAGGAGCCATAACCTGAGGTAACAAGCAGAAATGTTTTTAAATTGTCAGCCTAACATCATGACAATAACTTTTTGTCACACACACACATACACACATTTCAAGATATCATTTGTATGTGTGCATACATTTTTTATATATATATATATATATATATATACTGATATTTGTGTGTGTATATATATATATATATATATATATTTGATATATTATATATATATATATATAT